CACGTCTTGGTGACTCAGTGACTCTGGCTAAAGGCCAGCACGATGCTTTCGTTCTACTCCTTTGCAAGCAGCATCTCACGGTGAAGGAAAACTTCTATACCACACAGGGGAACTCAAAATCTTCGTGAACTCATCTCCATGTTCTTACGCACCTTGAAGGCAGAAATTACCACCAACATGACCCCATGCCAGTCCATACTGGCAAACATCATTGCGATTTCTCTTCAAAACAGCATCCAAATTAGACCTAAAGTCTGCCTAGCGGAGTATTTTTTTTCCTAGCAGCGGCCAACACCAAACACTTCAGGAAAGAAAAGGAGGAGCCAAGCGAGTACAACGTGACTCTTTCCTAGTCATACTCTTTCAGCTTCTGTTAGTCACCAATTAACAATTTACTGAACCAAAAACTTCCAGCTTATCATAGTCGTCACCAGTGGGCTGAAGTTAACTACAACTTTTCCTCTAATCCGTTCAGCTACGTGAAATTTTTCACCTGCGCTCACAGCAGCAAGACAACGATAAATCCTCACAAACGAAGGCAAAACCTGATGTACAGCACAAATGTTACAAAAACATGGAAGAAAACTTACCAGTCTGATGTTAGGCAATGAAACAAACAGAATAATTCAAATATCCCTGAAGAACTGTGTAAACAGAGCAAATAATGAATGAAATTTATTACTTATGGCTTGACTGGAGCCTGGAGCCAGACCCTGCAAATAAAGCTCCCCTCTATTAGTAGAACAGGAAAGATAACTTTTTATGAAGAGCAAAACAGAAAACAACAACAAATTAAAGTAACTCCTTTAAAGAAGTCAACATGAATAGATCAGAACTAGGAAACACCTCCACCTGAGCAGGTTTGTACAGAATCATAGAATAATTTAGGTGGGAGGGGACCTCTGGAGGTCTCTAACCCAACCTTACCTAGTTGAGTTCTGAATATCCCTAAGGATGGGGTTTCCACTGCCTTTCTGGGCCACCGCTCTACCACTCTGAGTATGAAAATATTTCTCTTTATATTCATTGGGAATTTTCTTTTAACGCAACTTGAACCCACTGCCCCTCACCTTCTCGCTACGCGCCTCTGGGAAGAGCCTAGCTCCGTCTTCTCTAAACCCACCCGTTCAAGAGAGCTGAAGAACCAACGTAAGATGTCCCCAGAGCCAGCCTGAACAAACGCAGCTCTCGCAGACTCTCACCACGTGACATGTGCTCCAACCCTCTCCCCTCGGCAGCCCCACAGCGGACTCGCTCCGGCCCACCACTGCACACAGCACTCCAGACGTGGTCCCACAGGGGATGGAGAGAAGGGACGCACCGCTTCCCTTGACCTGCTGAAGATCCTACTTCATGAGATTCCTTAATTGCTGCAAGGGTGCGCTGCTGACTCACAACCCACTTGGTTCGCATCCAACATACGAGTAACGGGACTACACTGCAACGGTAAGTATGTTTACGGAGTATTTAGAAGATGTCTCTGTAACGCTAGAGCATCAACACGTAACCTGTCTGCTCATTGCTGTAGCGATTTAATTTTATCATCTCAAAATACTTTGTAAGTATCTGGGATCTCATACTTCAGGTAAAAGGTGGGGGAATTAAAAAAACCAAACCAAACCAAAACCCAAAAAGCTCAAAAAAAAGAAGTGGAGGTAGAAATTGTTGTTTTAAGAAGACGGTAAGAGAGAACAACTCAAGTATAAGGACTTTATGAGCGACAAAATAACAGCCAGAACTTAACTCTACAAAGCTAAAAGCAATCTGTGCCCATCCCAGAAGAGGAGCATCTTAAATAGTTCCTTCTCTATTCACAGAACAATAAGGTAGATCCAGTCTGCCACCAGATCCACTTCAAGGGAACCCACACGAGAACGAATTGCAGTAATTCCAGATCGGCTACAACAAATTGCAGCTGAATTGACACTGCTACAAAAATTGAGGCCTAATTTTCAAGACAATCCAGAGACAGAAAGACAAAGACGACTCATATCGCGGAAAAACCCCTCGAACAAAGGCTAAATCCCAGGACACACCCTCCACCCATTCTTTCACTTACTCCAGATCACGTACGCGTCTCCCGATACCATCGCACCAGCGTCTGTTCCGCTGCAGCTAATTCACGCCAAACCAAAAAAGTGATCAGCCAACTGCAAATCGTTCGTTGTGAGCTTTCAGCATAAAGGAAATAAGCCGCCGTGAGCATCCTGAAGCAGCTGAACCCTTTCCCCATTACCTCTCGATGTTCAAAGGAAAGCCAAAACAGACAGGGGCAACCCCAAAAACCGACACCATGGAACTAAGTGTCTGATTCCCCAGTTAAGTCATTTGTTATGTTCTCTGGTGAGAAGATGGTATTTACCAAGAAGCTACAGGCAAGGAGGATCTGCCAATCTCCAGTCGTTCACAGAGGGTTTAACTGTTTAACCTTCAGATAGGACACTGATGCGTGATGAGACCAGCAGCTACCTGACAGGGACAGACAGAATTAAGACCAGATTATGCTACATTAGATGGTACAGACATACAATTTACGGCGTTACTTTGATCCTGCATCACATGAGCCTATAATCAGGATACAGAAATTCTAGTACTAATTTTATTCTTCCCTATTGCTTTAAAAAAGGCAATGCTTGAAAGAAAGACTTTTTTTTTTTTTTTTAAGATGGTATAGTAAGCAATATTTCTTTTAAAATTGCAGCTGTCCAACAGTTTGAGTCTGTTCTTTTTAAAATGAAACAGCCAGAACAAATGGTGGTGGCAAGCCCAACGTAAAGAGGTCATCGATTATTAAAATCTCCTTACTATAAATCGTGGATGTTGCTTGTCAGCTTGGTGTGTGACTGTGGAATGAATAAGTAGGTAAAATTCCACTAAGGCTATAGTTTGCTCGATCATTCTGCTGTGCAAAAATGGAAATAAAAGCTCTCCCAGTCCTTTCGCTCCTTAGTACCAAAACACCCATACGCACATTAAGAAAAAACTGCAATGGTGCAATGGTCGCTGACCCCATTCCTTTCTTTCCTGAGTCTGCCCTGATGCTACTTACGAATTTGCCTACTCAAGAAACGCAATAAAACAGGGGAAAAAAAAAAAAAAAAAAAAAAAAGACGGCTTCATTCTGCTTCAGTGATCTATATCTAAGGAAAGCACATAAATTTCCCAATGAAATCCATAAATGAAAGACGAGGCCAAGCCCTACCCATATATCTTCAAAGTTACAGAGACAAAGAGGTGCCAGCTCTGTGCCCTCTGAAAGCACAAAATCTCCTCCGCACTTACCTAAGCAATTTTCACGAGATCAACAGATGTAAAGATGATCTAGTTAGCCTACGCCTTGAAGCGGTTTGGGCTGGCTAAAAACCTGCTGAGGAACCGTATTCCAGGAGCTCACGATGCCATCTGATAGTTAAGTGTGAGGAAGGGATGAGAACGAGACACGTAACAGCACCTTCCCTTCATTCCCTCCACCTTGAAAGTGGAGGCAAGAAAAGGGAAAGCCGTCCCTCAGACTAAGCTGTTTTCCCCTTTTAAGCCATTCCCACATAAAGGGGGAAGGTAAAAATGGAATGTTGAGGCAACACTATGCAAATTTTTATATATCTACATACAAAAATTTACATAGGTTTTTAATTCTTATTTTTCATGCAACACACTCCTGCCCGTCTCTAACACTTCCCGTGCTGTTTCCATCGAAATGTTTCCTCTTACCGGCAGCAACGTATCATTTTATCAGGAGATCATTTCCACACAATGCCAGCAGATGTAATTTTCTTAGATGCACACACAGTTCATCATTTAGATACTAGATGACAAGGTGATCGCAGGGTGACTCTGTAATGCAAGTTTGCTGTTTGGTATTTTGAATTCTCAAATGATAAAAAAAAGACTTATCAAATATAAATATCTTTAAGAAAAAAGTAACAAAAGTGCTACATATGATCAAGGAAAACAATTCCATTAGTTTCTGCTACTTAAAGTAGGTTTGCTTTACAAATATTACCACATCCATTATCAGTATGGCTTCCAATTATTAATTAAATTGCTCGTAGCAGTATAGCTTTCTCACATCTTAACAAGGACAGAGTAAAGAGAACACAAAACATTCACACCCCTTTTCTCAGGTAAAAGATCCTCCTGCCTTTAAACAAACAAAAAAGTTTGTATTCTAGGAGAATACTTAAGCTATGATGGGTACCTAGCCAAGGTCAGATGCAAAAGTTCTCCAATAACCTCTCAGGCTAGTCAGGACATAGGCATTCGTTACACAGACGTGTAAAAATCCACTCACCCATAACCTTCCTGGAAAACATTGCTTTTGAAAGTGGCAAAGTGGAGAGGGGAGCAGGGTGGGGACAGAAAAGGCGAGAGGAAGAATAAAAAGGTGAAATTGTTAATGACAGATCGATAGAGTTTAGACCTCTTCTGAGCAGGCACTGCTAGCCATGCCAAGTAACAAACAGTGGTTCTGAGAAGCGGACTGTTGTCCATTAGACATTCAGCTCATTTTTTCCTATGATCCCAGGCTGGGCTTCAATCATGGTCCCAGAGGCAGAAGGCAGTACTTATCCACTAAGCCACGCAGCTTGTGAGAGTAGAGGATGTCTGTGTTGAATATGTGAACATCAACCGAAATATGTGAATGTGTTTCCAATGGACATTCTCAGCACAGCACCCAAAAGTATATCAAGTCGCTGTATGACCAGTGAGGCACGGCTTATTGCAGCTGGAAATCATTTATTCCCATGCTGGAGTGGGGTTTCTAGTGTTCTTTTTACTCTCTGTTGATACTCCCGATCTGGTGTCCATCGACCCTGCGCCACTACCTCAGCTTGCATCCTTTCAGTCTCAGAGAAGGAAAAGCGTACAGACTATTTTTTTTTGTTTTAAACACAATCTCTAAGGGTATCCAAGATTTTAAGTGTAGCCTAAGACTCGTCATTGAGGGCTGTCTAAAATACCTGGAAGCACTTTGAATGCTAAGACAGAGCAGCAAGATTTTTCTAGCCACTGGGGCTGGGAGAGGGAGGTTGGTTGGTTGATTGATTATTTATTGGGAATTAATACTGAGAGAGTATATGCAAAGGCTGAGGGCACCATGCCATCTTCACAGAACAAGACCCTAACAGCTAACTGACGTACAAGAAACTGCAAAGTTATACTGTAAGAACACATATTAAGGACCGAGGAAAGTCTGCTAAGGTGCTACGTCTAAAACTAAGTTACTTCTCGCTTTGACCCTCCCCTTTCTTGGTATCAGTCGTCGTCTAGAGCCTCTGTCTTGATCTCGTTGGCTCCTTGCCGGGCCAATGCCAAGATGGTGTGGTTTACCGCTGCCATTTCCACAGCTAATGAAATGGGGTCTTGATGGTCACTATGGCTAGTGCTGTCATCCTGTGCATGCGGAAAGGAGAAGAGAGAAGCATCGTTACTCCAGAAGCAGACAACCAGCAGACAAAACGTGTGTGTGAAGTAACGGGCACGGGGCAGCGAACTGAACACTTGTTACAGGGGTAAAAAGTGAAAGGCGTTTACAAAACGGATTTAGGGCTCCTCTCCCTCACTGTGCAGACAAAGGTAAGCAAGGCAAGGAGTGGCATACCCAACTCTCAAGAGAGAAATTTAAGGGGGACGGGGGGTAGATATTCTAAAGGAAAATAATAGTTTATAAAGATAAAAGTGATACACAAGGCACGTCAGGAAACCAAACTAAGACAAGAATCGTTATTCATTGCACAAATCATGCTATGCTTACACTTTGAATATACAGTTCTGGTCAACCCATTTAAAGAGAACACGATAGAACTAGAAAAGGTAGAGAGACCGGCAACCCAGGGGAAGAGAGGCACGGGGTGGCTTCTTTAGGAGGAGAGGCTAAACGGACTCAGGTTCTTCACTTTGGAAAAGAAATGGCTGGTGGTTGATGTGGTAAATGTTTATTACAAATAATCCGTAAATACAGCGCAATGGTTTGTGGCTTCTCGTGATCTAGTAAGCAAGGGCACCCACTGGAATGGTAATATGGGAAGCACTGCTTCGCTTATGGCAGTTCAGTTGTAGGATTGGCTGATTTTTAGATCAGACAAAAGGAAAGGCAGGGGTTAGACAAATTCAGGGAAAATTCGCCTAACAGCAAGTATCAAAACTGAACGTGGATTTACTTCCTGCCTCAGGAAGCCTCTCAAAACTACTTTAAACGCTTTTTCTTCACAGTATTTTTCTTTAAATACTACTACTGACCTCACTCACAAAGAGGATACAAACCTAGACTAACCCTTGCTCTCAGCCAGTATCCTGTGAAGACACTGAATTCACACAGGTACAGGAAAAAAGATGCTGAAAACCTCCTAGACTGTTAAAACAGTGCAATGATTTCGGGGGCTGCCTTCTACGTGTGCATAATGGCCATACAATAGCAGACCTAAAAGTCTGATGATTCCTAGCACAAATTTTACAGTGAGTGTATGTTTCTCAGTCTACATCAGAAATAGGGCCTGGCTTTCAATAATAAGAACCAGCAATATCCAAACTGTAATTCCAGCTGTCAAAAAAGTACTTCTGGAACTCCGGGCAAAAAAGTGGTGCTTTTCCCCTCTTTAAAATGGGGTACTAATAGTTACCACACCATGACGTGGCAATATTTTAAAATTATTATTATTTACGTAAAGGAAATGATAAACACTTATCAGTCTTCCAACAGCCTTTAAGTGATGAACTTGTGAAATTTAAAATTTAAAATGTGTATTACGCATTTCTAAATTAAGATGACAGGTGGCAAACGCTGAGGGGGATGGAAAAGCCAGGATTTGGTAAAATCCTGAGGTTATTGAGGGGAATGCATTCATTTACAACAAATGTCAGGCAAATACTGTGATGTGCACACGCTCTAAGGGCCTCTCAGTAATCTCTACCTCGGTAAGAAATACAAAGTCCTGACCTCTGGAGTTTTAGGCACTTCATTAGTATTTGGATGAACTTTGTCTTTTAAAGTTTACTAGAGTTTATGTGTCACCGTGGAAAACAGAATTTATGTTTTTCACAGCGACGGGAAGTTAAATGGTCATCAGGAGAGCTTGTCATTTAATCTACTTCACTGCTAAGGCCTAATTACACTTCAGACTGCTCCAGCCAGTTTACTGAGAAATGGAGTTTTTAAGGACTTTAAACAAAGATCTTTAAATGTTAATAACCCATTTATTTCTCTTTTCACAGTATTTTGGAGAACACGAAGAAAAATATAGTTTGGGAGTCTATGTAACACTTCATCTCAGTGTTCAAGTCCTGTATCTGACTGACAAGGAATTAATCTGTGCTCAGCAGCAGTTCCAAAACATTTTATAACAGCCACAGAGCAGCCTCTCATCATCGAGAGCTAGCAACGTTGGTTCCACCAAATCTGCTGGCGATGACCTATAAAAAGGGCCTTAATACCGATCAGGAGCAGAGAGGCCGGGAATGCCTCTGCCAGATATCTGTCGTACTGGGCCACGGCCAAGTATGCTAGGGACTCGTTCCAGGACACTCACTTGCTATTGCACTCCACCAGCAGCCTTTATAGAGGGAGACCTACCTACTTCTCCCAAACGAGGCAATTAAAAGCGATCTGCCCACCCCAGCTGTTGGGTGTAGCACAGAGCACAGCTCGTATCAAAACCAGAACCAAGGGGACTGTTCAAATCCACTGGTGCCAAGCACAAACAGCCCGGGGGGTAGGGGGGGGTCTGGCCAACACTGACATCTGAAGGAAAATTGGGAAGGGGATGCAATACCTGTCAGGAAGGTGTGTGAAGGAAGGGTCACCAACTTTAGGGTAGGTGAGGGCTCAGAGTGCGGGAAGGGGTATTCTTTTGCTAGAGAATTTAAAAAAGAAGTTGCTGTCAAGGGTTAAAAATAACCAAGAAAAATAGAGAATAGGCAAGAGTTAAAATGCAAAAAGAAAAATAGAAGAAAAAAAAAAAAAGACAGATAATATGTAAACAATCCCAATAGTGGCACATCGTTGCAGAACAATATGGCACAGGGCCAAATAAACGTCAAACGTTACTTAATCAAATCCTTTCCCCCCACCCTTCACCCTTTGTCTGTCAGTGTCTTAGGGACAGATCCTGAGATGCTCCTGAAAGGTACTGCCACAGACAAACCGAGGGAGCTCAGCACCTTACAGGAGGGTGCTCAGTATCTTGCTGGGCAAGGTTGACAAAAGGGATTATCAAGTGTCCTGGGCAGGGGCTTAGTGCTGTCCTGGTCTGGGAGCCAGAGTAGCTGTAGCACAGGCTGTAAGGGAGACTTTTTCTTGCAGAAAGAAATAACAGGCGCACGAGGACCACACGTGCCTAGTTTTGCAGGGAAGCATGTTGGTGCCTGATGTATAGGAACAACTGTTAAAGACCTGTACGTCCTTTCTGGAGGGTGGATAACTAGAACGGTGCCGGGGTAAGGAGAGCGCAAGTTAGGCATGGTGCACTGGGGGAGTTAACACTCTCCTAACATTTTTCATACATTGCGTGTGGCGTGAATGGTGTAACTTGCTTGTTTGGAGCAGATCCTCCTGTCTTCTTCTACCTTCTCTGCTTCTCTGCCTCCCTCTGAACATCTTCCCTCCTCCTCCCCATTGCGTACTTGCCAAGTGTCCTGTTGTATGACAATAAATCCGTGTGGGTGAATGCTGGTTGCTCAACACATTCAAACAGGGGAGCTGTGCTCTTCCGCTTTCCCCATTACAATTACATAAAAGCAAAACAAAAACGAGACATCTGATTTGCAAGAGGTAGAGGGCCTCTTCGTGTGCCGCGTGAGCTCTCCCTTTTTGGGCCACGCGGCTCAGCCACGATGCTTACCTGCTCCGAGTAGTCATTGCCATCAACGTCGTCACTGTTGGAATGACCTCCCGGACTCTGTACATCTATTCCATGGCTCTCCAGGATTGCTGCTTCTTCGAAAAAAGCAAATGGATCCCTAATTTATCTGATGCATTAGAGTAATTAAAAGTAACTTTTTTTTTTTTTTTTTCAAGAAGTTAGAATAACTGGAAGAACAGAGTTAGTTCTTAGCCTCTTCCTCTTCACTCTCCAGTATTTGGGAAGGTAGCACATGTACAGATACTGGCTTGCCTGAAATCCTTCCCTGCCAACTAACAGACTTGTTTGCGAGTAAGAATCCTGGTTTTCCAGCCAGTCCTATTAGAAATTAGCTTAATTTCTAATGCACTGGAGTGGCAAAGGCATTCCCTGTAGATCTTCCCACATAGTTTGGACTGGCAGGACTTGAGGGGGGCAGGGAGTGTCTGAAAATAGATGGAGAAATTTTTTAAAGCACTTAAGGGATTTAAAAAACACACATATCTTCATCTTCCAGTAGGATCCATGCATCTAAAGCTCCCTTTGGTCTTTTTAATCTCCTTCCAACCCTCCTCCCCATGCAGTACAGATACAGCTCTAACTCCACCCACCTTGGACTGACTGTGCTTTGTTCCCCCACCCCCCACCTCGCCCTTCAACAGACAGGTTTCATTTTCAGAAAGATAAATTTAGGTTCAGTTTCAGCAACACATTAAGTGAGGAAACAAGACATTTTTCTTATTCAGAAATACGGCAAAAAGCAGCAGTCAGCAACCGGGCGTTGGACATTTGCACAACTCCTGGTTAACGAGCAGGTATGGAGCTCTGTTCATCCGCCATCGCAAATGCAATTCTGCACAGCACCTACAAGTGCGTGCCTAAAATTCTGCGTGTGTTGCAGAAGTTTGTTGAACCCTGGCCCCTAACGTGAGTTTATTCTCACTGGAATACCCTACATTTATTCACGTTCGAAGGTCTACTCCTGACAAGTTCAGAGCCACTGCTAATTTCCTTACGATCAGCTACTCACGCAAAGAACCTACAGGGCTGACTCTGGAGTGACTTTCGTTTTATCCTAATCATCAAGAAAAATTTTTACTTTTTTTCCCAGGCACTTGTCACTGTGCAACCCCTTGGAAAGCAGTAAGGAGCACAGGTGTAACCAGAACAAGCAGTTGGCTTGCAGCACCTCTGGTCCTAGTGGCTGTACCCAAGATGTAAACCAGCCCATCTGGACTCTTAGATCCCTGGGGGGGTCTGAGGGATGGCAGTAAAAAAAAGACACCCCCAGGTTTTGGCTGAAAAACCAAGCACATTTCAGTGGAACACAAGGAAACTTACAACCAGATAAAAGCTCTTCACAACAGCCACTTGTCATCGAAACAGCGTGCTACGGTTGTGAACTGGCCACCGCCTTCATTTCCCTTATTTCCAATGCAGGTATTTTGAGGTTTTATTTCAGATTTTATTTCAGATACCCAAAGCGGCCTGAGCTTAGGAAATACGAGTCTCCTTCCACCAACAAAATTCTCACTTTGGCTTTTAGAACCGGTTTTCCAGTAAAACTTCATAACTGCATCATTTCTCCTGCACTGATGATGGAATTCCATAAATTAAACTCCTACCCGTATTTTAGAAAAAATCTGGAACAGCAAGAGACTAATTTTAAAAATTGTTCCACATTTCTATTAAGAATGTCGGAATCTCTAGTACTTCCATTAATACAATCTTACACAACTTCCATCTCTCTCGAGCAAGTGCACGTACGAAACCTTGAAAGCAGGCGCTCTGATACATTACCGATATTGGCTCTTCTCTTGATTTCCTTTCTTCTGTTGGCAAACCAATTGTATACTTTAAGGGAGGTCACTCGCTCCAAATCCGATAACTTTTTTCCTATGAAAGCAACAGAGGGGAAAAAAAACCCCAGCATTGTTACTCTCCGAGTTCCAGAGGTAGGCAAAAGACCCTTACAAACCCCCGAAATATAGACAGCACTGAAAAGTTACTGTAACTGAGCATGAAGTGAATTTTATGTGAATCAGAGTACTGTGCCCAGATGCCATGGTAATAAATGCCAAATATCTCTCCAAAAACAAAGTAGCCTTTCTTCTTTTTGTAAAATCCGAAATACAGGGATTTCTTTGCAGCTTAAACCAACTCAATCCAGAGCCGCGGGAGAACAGAGGGCTGCTTTTCTGGTTCAAGCACAAAATTGAGATCCAAAAAACCTCAAATTCAGTTTGCAGCCCCGCCACAAACCGCACACCCTCGGGCTAGTTCTCTCACTATGTGCCACGAGGATATAGTTCAATGACGTGTTTTCATCAGCAGCAAAACGAATGAATAAATGTTGTGGCATCCCCTCCAATCTGCTTTCCCCCCTCTCCACCACCAGCCGCTATCGTGCTCCCACAGCACTAATCACACCCCCCCCAGATGTGCCAGGATACCTGCGACCTTTTGGGAGAATGGGGGTGTGGGTGTCGGAAACCAGATCACTGGAGTTTTACACTTAAACCAGCAAAAAAAAAAAAATCCCAACCACCACTTGCCAGCTACAGGAAACAATGTGTTTTTCTGATCACCAGCATAAAGGAGGAAAGACTGGAAGGATTCAGGATTGCAAGGATGTGGAAACTCTTCAGTTGGCCATGGCCCTATATAAAATATTCAGGGTAGCTGCATCCTCAGTCCTCTGCAGGCTACAGGGGGATGAGACTCCCCTGCTTCAGACTGTTTCTCAAAGTTTATTTATTCAGCGTACAAAACATCCATGTAATTGCAGCAATCTGCAAACTTAAATAAGCAAGGAGAGATGAGACAAGTGGAAGCAAGAAAAATCTGGAAACAGGTACCTACGCTGTTTCCTAATGCTTTTTCATCAGTATCACTCACAAGATTTTACTGATCCCAAGACACAGAGTTTAAGGAGTTTGTTCAAAGTTGCTAAACCAACCAGGAGGCACAGCCAGGAATAAAACTCGAACTCCTCGGTGCTCTACCCGCTAGAGCATTCTGCTTCCACCACAAAAAGCCAGGAGGCAACACATAAAAGTTGGCAACAAGGGAAAGTTTAACTAGGTACCGGGAAAATACGTTTTGCTGTGCTCAGCATTGTGAAACAGGGGCCCAGAGGTGGGAAAACCTCTGGTTCTGCAGATGCTCAAACCTGAACAAGGTAAAGCCCTGAGCAACCTCATCTGAGCTGGTCCTGCCTGACCAGACAATCTCCAGAGATCATTTCCAGCCTAAATTGCTCTACGATTCTGTGCTATCCTGTGGCTGTCCCAATGTTCAGGAGTCAGGCCTTCACCTTCTATTGCCTTCATTTTTATTCTGGTTATATAAAATCTAAATATATCCAAAATATAGTTCTGAAAACCCTGTAAACGTTTGGATAGCAAACCTAAGCAAAGGCAGGTGCGTTCACTAACACTACACTGAATATCCACGCTCCTCTGCCAAGCACGACTTCTTCAGGAACAGGGTAAATGCAACTTGTTGACCCAAAATACAAGCTCCTCAGCATTAACAGACAGATTCTAATACATGACCCCTGTCTAGAAGTTGTAAAGAAAACGGAAAGACTGGAAAGCTGTGCTCCTCACTCCTCCGAGGACCTGCTGTATGATCTCCAGCAAGCCTCCGTCTGTGAATCTAAGGTTTTCCATCTGTGAAAAGGAACCAGTAAAATCCAGTTGCACGGAGTGTAATAAAATTCTCAGATCGCTACTGAGTGCTCGTATAAGTACTCTGAAATAACCGAACGTAAGGAAAGAAAAGCTTTCAGACATGTTCATTTTCTTGGCAATGCCATTTACAAAGCTGTATAAATGAAACGTTCAGATGCACGACTTGCACTTCCTATCTCAAATGGTGGGAATTTAAGTTGCAGACACCGGCGTTTACGTTTGAAAACTGCATAAACTGCCACGTCCATCCACGTATGGCAGCTCTGAACAACACGAGTTACAGAACGCTCAGGTAGAAACCTCCTAGTTTTAGAGCATTACATTTGTTAGTAACAGGCATCAAACGAGATTTGCTGAATTTAGCAGGAGCTGTTGAAATCTAACTGCTGTTGCTTTCGGAAGGAACACCACGATCAGCTCCTCACCTGGCTTTTGTATAACTGCATTACAGGCGTTGGCGATTTCTTCTCTCTTTGCCTCATCTGGATATTGGTTCTCATTGAAGTAACTGCAAGGGGAGGAAAAAAAAAAAAAAGTTTTTCTCAGAAATCAGAGCATGAAGGCTCCGAAGCAGCTTCACTAAAAGGTGTCAACAGAGGTAACGCAGAGGCAGTAAATCTGTGTAAACCTGTATATGCACACGGCAGCATCAGCACGCACTCATATCCACAGAGAGCAGAGAAACTTCCCAAACGCCTCTGGTAAAGGAACATTATCTCAGCATGTGCAGTGCCACCTCAGCCTTCAGAATATTGTACTAAGAGACACAACGCAGTAGGCAGTGCCACGGGTACCAGAGTTAAGACTGTCGAGCGAAGCATCCTGTCAGAAAACATCACAGGCCATGCCTCTGCCTCTGCTTATTACCATTTACCTGTTTTTTTTTTTTTTCCTGACATATCGCCAGCTTAGGCAGCGTCCTACAAATGAAGGAGCTGTTCAATATTTATTTTGATCCCTGGGTTAATATATACACACATACTTGGATATATATTACACACAAACACACACAAATATTGCATAGACAGGTACAGTATGAAGCTTGTACAGACAAAATTACGGAGTAATACAGGAAGATTTCTGGAGTCAGACTGGTGGGGTTTTTAAAATCACAAATTTTAAATCTTCCCCAGAACAACATATTGAGTATGGCATATTTTAACAGTATTTTTTTTCTGAATAATTGTGATTTTATTGTACTTTGTATGCAATAAACATCCTATAAAAGTTAAAACTGTTTTCTCTTTTACTTCATTTAAGTGCTTTACAAATTTTAATGAACTGATTTACATTCTACAGAGCTTATCAGATTTGCATTAAAAACAACAGAAAAGTCCTGTTTACTTCAATGGACTCTGATAAGCATGCCATAAGCAGGGACTACTACATTTTTTTTTCTGTAGACTGCCCGTAATATATAATCCTAAGAATTCTTTGATCAACTTTGATCAGCAGCAGGTTCAGCTGTTGGACAGCTGCTCTGTATTTGAAAAGAAGATACTTCCTTTAATTGGAGATCATTTGGTAGTAGGAGATTTAAGCATATTTAGGGAATTATTATTTTCTGTGGCCACATTCCTCCACAGTTACTCTCTATGGAAACCTGGATTCTGTTCCACACAGCAATTGTGTCAAACCTTCTCTGTAAGTGGTACTAACGCAGATCTCACTATTTCACTTCCACTTCAGATCAATTCACTGTAAATACAAATTTTGAACATTCAGTTTGAATTTTAGCTACTACCTCTGCATCCCATTGTTCACAGCGTTATTTACAGTTGCAGCTACGCCCAGAGTCCTATTTCAAAGTCACCACTCATCGACTAAGAGCAACCACACATCAGCACAGCCAGTTGCACTGTTTAATGTACTTCCACTTGATTTGCTAGCTTTGAGAGCAAATGAGACCACAGGAACAGCTCCACGCTCACTAAATGAAGGGCAGACTACATCTATACTACCAATTTGGGCTTTGGAAACAAGCAGATTTACACTTGAACACCCACTACTTCTTCCCTGGACCTCCACGTTGTTCTTAGGAAGTAAATCTGGAGAGACTGACCATAACGGCAACTCCCACTATGCTTGATCCTACTCTGAAAAACAGCTGATATTTTGCTAGCAGATCTGAAGAGAAGGACACTTGGTTACACTTACTTTCTGGGAAGCTTCAACTCTGGCACTGTCACCTACAGGAATGCTCCCTGAATTATCAGCAAGAAGTTTTCTTTTTATTTTCTCCCGCTCCCAGTGATACACCCAGCCTCTGGGCATGGTATATTTTAAGGTATATTATTTCCTCTTCTAGTTATATCACCCTTTCTATTATTATAGCCTTTGAAGTGATACGTGTGTCTATCTTAACTCACAAATTTCTGTTCAAAGGGGTCGTGTTCTGTGCAAAGGGTTTTTTTTTTGAGAATGGAAAGCTTGGAAAACTGACCAGAAAATGCTTTTTCTAGTAGTCAGTGACAGAAGCAGAAGCTCAGGATCCCAGTCCAACTGCCCCATGACGGTGTCTCAGCTCTCCGACCTACAAAATAGAGCACTCCACTCCCTGCCCAGAGCCAAGAACTATTTCCTCTTTTAAGGGTCATGAGATAAAGGAATGTCAAGACACCACAGCTGAAAACTGCTGTACTATTACTTACATGAATATATCGTATGACCTCAAGTCTTAATCAGGAATCCAGGTCATCACTCCGTGTGCAAAAATTAACTCAGCTTTGGTACTTTGGTAGCCATAACAGCTATTTTATGGATTCCCATTGCTGAACATTATTTTGTTTGTAGTTACTTGTCAAAAGTCACGAACAAACGCAACAAAACCCCCCTACAATTAGAAAACCTAATGGAGGTACATGGTCATGTACTAAAACCAGAAGGTGAAACCCTGATATCATGGGATATCATTCAGAAAGGGACCTGGGGGTGCTGGTCGGCAG